CATGTGATATATTTTCATCCTTTTAAAAAACGTTCAAACAAGCTTTATATCGAAAAAATGCGTAAAATAGTAATCTTAAATAGAATCTCTCTAAGAATTCTGTATTAAAAGTTTGTTGTTGCGAAAACCCATTACCCATTGTTGTCTCACTGCCATTATTTCGTATATAGGTACATACATACATGTGTAAACACATATATTTCTACATATATATAATTAGAAGGCTGTGTTATTTTACTATGAATTTATGCATATATGTATGTCATAAGAATCCTTCATCAATTTCATTGACTGTAATAATTTGGTGAATTAATAATTATTTATTACCTCAGTATATTTTAAAAATACTATTTCTAAAAGCATATTGTTCTTAAAAGGCCTTAAAAGAAAGACATTTCGTGGCACTTTCATCTTCTTTTCGGCACTATTTTTGATTACCATGAGGCACATTTTGAAATTTTTTGAATTCCATCCCTGGTGGCAACCGTTTTTTTTTTGGATTCTTTAACCATCCTTTACTAACACACATGCATACATATGTATTACATACTAAGGCGACTTGCTCATATGGGTGTGCACTTTCATATGGCTTATTTAAAGAAAAAATAATGTAATTATTTATACAACAACCATAAATGAGGGCAGTATTCACCTACATATTTTCTTTATCTGCATTTCTAGCATTCATGTAATGCAAGGTGCTTACCCTGTAAACGATATGTGTAAAAACTGTTGAAACGAAAGCAACAACTTTGTGGCATTATGCATACTGCTTCGCATTTACTTATTTTAGACACGACTAAAATAACCACATTGACTATGATGTACGTGTGTAAGTTTGTTAGCCCGTCTATGTAAATATGTATCTTACTTAATATATATAACACAAATCGTCCTTGAAAGAATACTTTAGGGTGCCCTTGTTCGGCAGAAGACGTTTTATTTTTCTTCTTCTTGATTAGCGCATATACGCCAGACAAATGTATACATAAATGATCAGAGTAAAAATTGAGATATCTTAACGAAAATTGGTATGTGCACTTCTTTCTGGCGTAGGACGGATAGTATTGAAAATGGGAAAAATTGGACAATAACCACGCCTACCTCCCATATAACGGTAGTTTTAAGAAATACGAAAACTGCGATATTTTAGTAACTACTGAAGATTATTCACTCCAAATTGATATTTACAATAATTTTTAGACGAAAAATAAGATTATAAATTTTGCTGCACCAATTTCTTCCTAACTTGGCAAAGTTGTTAGCCTTGCTACAGCATACCAAATTGCCGAAAATTTTTAAAATCGGACAATAACCACGCCCACATCCCATATAACGGTAATTTAAAGAAATACAGAATCTTCGATAAATCAGTAAATATTAAAGCTAAAGAAATATGTTTATGATACAATTTTGGCAAATGGGCGTGGCACCACCCACTTATGATCACATATATGTACACTTGGTATGGTTATTTTGCTTGCCATATAAAAGCAAAACGATGAAAATTATTGAAAACGGACTAAAATTGAGACCGCTTTTCACATAAGGACGCTAATTTACTCAAAATTTATACACCTGGGCTTACCATGTAGCGGTAGCTTTCGGAAAGGTGAAAGTCATATATTTAACACATGCGCCGGGTGTTTAATGTTAGGGTCCGCCCGAATTTAGACTTTCTTACTTGTTTCTTATTTGAATTTATTATGAATATACTGCGGATATTCATGCAGAAAACGAAGCCTAAAAATATGTACCCCATAACTATAAACAATATGTTAACAAATTTATTTATTTTGCTTACAGTTAAGTGGTACATATTTTTAAGGTTCGTTTTCTGCATAAACATCCGCAGTCTAATTATGAAACTGATTGAAGGAAAGAACTGGCATTAGGTAATTCTGGCCGAGTCAATTAAAATCCGCTAGTCATGTTCCCTCCTAAATTTTATACAGAAAATATATTCTCTGATTAAATTGATGAACCTGTCAGGATAACACAAACCTCTAAGCTTTAAGCAAAATTGGATTTTAAAGGTTTTATAAGTCTCTACATGTAGGCTGTGCTTTTGTAAGTGGTTTATAAGGCTCTGAATAAAGGGCGTGTATTCTAATACCAAGTTTTTTTTGTTGATTTTTGGATTTGTTTATAGAGGCTTTTACGTTGGTGACATGAAGTTTTTGCCTGAGAAGACCCCTAGTAAAATTTTCCGAAGAATAATTTTTTAGAATAAATCAATCCTCTAACGACCTTCCAAATTTGCTTTTTTGGGGTTTCCTGAAGTAAGGGTCAGTACAACCCTTTCAGGCGGAAGGTATTGGGTTAAAATGTTTTACGAAAATACTTTCCATGCAATTTTACTATACATGCTTAAGCTTTAATTTTGCTTACATATATATTTTAACCATTTTTTCGAATTTTTTGACAACTACTTAGGCCGAGACATGAAAACTTTAGTAGGCCATAAAATAAAAATACGATCTAACTTTTTCAAATCCATCGAGTTTTTTACTACTGGATGGGTATACTTTCTGTGAATGTTAACAAAGTCCAGGCTGGGTTCCTTTGGGAGGTAGTCGTTAACAAAGGGGCAGTAAATAGTTCAATGGTTACTGACATCAAAACGAAAAAGAGAAATAGATTATGCGAAAAGCATTAAATATATGTAGTCAAATTTAATTTACTTAACAAACAACCTAATTGTGCGACTTAGGGCCAGTTTTTCTGTGCACGGCTGTGGCTTAAACATAGTTTAAATACTCGAGCTGGCTGGTTTAAACTAAGATTAGCTAATGAAGTGTCAGCTGTCTGATCAATTTAAACGCGAAAACGAATGAAAAGGCTGTTTGTGTAAACTATATATATATATATATAGGTATATAATGGCGGGTAAATTTGTGTGGGAGATTTTTTCGACTAAGCGCGTATTGCACATACATATGTAAAATTCTAAGCAACTTTGCTGAATAAACCATGGCTCTAAAATCAATTTGGAATTTGCCAAATTGCGAAAATAGGTTTCTTAGCACTTTGCTGAAGTATCGCAAAGAATTGCATAAATTTTGTACAAAAACATGTTGTAGGGGTTTCTTGGTATGAGGAATCCATTTCTGCACTTCTCTTTTTCATAAAACTTCCAGTAAAAATTTCCACATTTGCATCTAAGCCTATTTTCGCAATATGGCAAACTCCTAATTGATTTTAGACCGATGGTTTCTTCGGCAAAGTTGCGTCGAATTACAAGTATAATCCTCTTATGCTATACGCGCATATTCAAAAAACATGACCCGCCCTAATGTATATAAATCCTATGTGTATTGCAAATCTATGTACATTAGGGTGCTGGTTTTGGCGACCAAGATTATACCATAAAATGCCTCAGAGCTGTAGAGTTTTGAAAAAAAATCAAAGTTTACGTGTATTTTATATGAGAAATCTTTGCATGCCTTGGGCGAGTACTTAATGTTAATATTAAGGTTTCAAATTTTCAGGGAGATTTTTTTTAGGTGTTTTTTACAAAATTTCGAGGTAGGAGTAAAAAAAACAATAGTTGCAAAAAGAAGCGCCCTAATGTATATACATACTTGTACTTTTCATCCGAAAGCATTTTATGTAGAATAGATACATACAGCGCGGGATTTCTCTTGTATCTTTAGTATAAAACGAGATTTAGGTTGTATTTAGATGGGATTTTATTAACCCAGTTACTGGCAACACTGGTTCAGCTGATGAGCGCTGCAGAGCTGGTTTGCGCTGTAGACCTGTTACAAAGAATAGGGTTGATATGTGTTGTAGAGCTGGTTTGCACTATAGAGCTGTTAAAAGCAATAGAGTTGATATGTGCTGTGGAGCTGATGAGCGCTGTGGAGTTGGTTTGCACTGCAGAGCTGTTAAGAGGAAATTAGTTGGTATGCGCTGTAGAGCTGGTGCCCGGAATAACTTGAACGAATTGTAAATTTTCACAACAATTAAATTTTTCGGAATTTTCTCTTTATTTTCATTCTTCACTCTGAGTACCAACTATGTGGCGAATATTTATTGAGTTACTGAGTCATATTTTTTTTTTTTTAGAAGTGAGTCTGAGCGTGCGACACACAGCTGGGAGTCAGCTCAATAGCTCCGCTCAGCGCTGAGTTACCCATCTCTACTATGTGCGCTTTTTTAGAAACTTAAATATTTTTGTACCGAGTATCGAAAGTATTGGATACTTTTGAAATCGGTACCGAGTATCGATCAATACTTAAAAGTATCAGCTCAGCACATCACTAACGGATTCTACGGTAAAAACCGGTTTTCCTATGTGAAAACTTTGCAATCAATCTATGCAATCCGTGCAATGTGCAACTGTGCGCACACAAAGGGAGGGTTTTGGGGTTCAAACCACTGATATGAACTTAACAAGTATTCGAAGATTTAATTTGCCAACTTCGAATATTCGTTACGCCAAAATGAGCTACATACATATATAATAAAAAGTTCAGTGTATTTTTTCGGTAGTCGAAATATTAAAAAAAGCAATCGTGAAAAATCACCATTTCCATCGAAAAATAGGAAACGATTAAAATTAACATTAAACTCATTTTTTTAATTTTTTATTACTTTTGAGAGTTGAGCGCATCTTGTGTTTATACAACTTAATATTAAACAAGTAATTTTCAAATTACGGGACGACCCTTGGGGTACCATCTTTCCGATAAAAAAAAAGAATTATTGAAATCGTGGTCCAAAGTTATGCGGTTGCATATATAAAAAAAGAAAAAATATTCCGACGAATTAATTTTTTGAAGTCGACTAAAAATGTTTGAGTTCTTTGTTAATTTTGTGTAAATAAAGTGCAATTTATAAAACTTCAAACCCCCTCGCAATCCTATGCTGCGAACGCCGCATTATACTAAAGCCACCCTTTCGACATAAGCTACTATTCCATACGGACACAGATATATAGTATTTTTATACAAATTACAGACATATTAAATTAGCTTATAATTAAATTTTTTCAGATTCTTCGAATTGTTAAATAAAAATCCAAAATCAAATCACATCGAGTATCCAGTCTGAAGTTATTGTTTTCGTACAAACTCGATTACAGAACTGAGCAGAAGAAGTCGGAAATTGATCAAAAATTGTGATAGTGGCTGTGGGATTATAAATGACGTCATATAATAATTTAAGGAGAGGAGATACCGCGACGAAAGGATTCGAAGACTACTTCTCAATCAATTCAAGGCGAAGTCGAACATCACCCATTGAAAACGTTCGGCAACAAGCAATTGATATATTTGCCAGTAAAATGTGCTCCTGTCACCAATATTCAGTATTCATAGGTTTAGCCATATTATTAGCCGTAATCTGTAATGTCAGCAGCAGCCCCGTGCAGACGACCACGCAGGCCGAGGTATGATCCCTACATACATATATGTACTATATTCTTCAAGTTGATTAACAACAGCGTTACTCATACATACATACACATTGTACACCGAGAAAAAAACAAAGAAAAAGCACTACCACAAAGACTTTTGTTGGTTAAATCGTGCCCAAAGGCAAAACACCTTCGTATGAAAGAAAGGAGACTTGTTGAATGCACACTTAAAGCTCAGCTAGTCTAGACTTAATTTCCGAAACTTAACTCAATATTTTGGCCAACCTGTTATATGAGAAACTGTGTTGGCGGTTAGTTAAAACTTAAGTTACCGTAAGAAACTTAAGAACCTGTAGCTTTTAGATCAGGCATGGGCAGAGAGTTAGCAGGTGCTAAAAGAGCGTAAGCGTCGCGTGTACGTATACAGGGGTGATTTGGTTGTACGGATTATTGGAGTCTATTTTCATATTGTAAAAATTTGCCTGTTTTACACATATCTCAGGTTTCTTATATGCAGCTCCTGAACAGTAAATTTTTTTTATTAAAAAATGCGTTATTTTCGCACTTGAGGGACTTATCTATTACCATCTTTCACTCGATTTTTAAATTAAACATGAGAAGAGGATTTTTTGGAGTTTAAACAATATCGATCCCTAACCGCCAAAATAACGTAAGCGACATTTTTTTCAAAATTTTATTTTTGATGCAGAAATATTCCTCGGGCATCTAGATGTATTTCTGCATCGAAAAGAAAATTTTGAAAAAAATGGCGCTTACGTTATTTTGGCGGTTAGGGCTCGATATATTGGTAGACTTCGATTGTTGGGAGTTTTTGTCGCGTAAAAGTAAACAAAAAACTCTAATTTTCTTTATTTTTTCAACTTTAACCATCGCACATAGGGTTATTTGTCCCAATTAGGCGGCCAAAATTATTTTTATGAAAATTTTAACTCTAAATGTTTAGAAACGTTTGTTACGATATTTAAAACTGTAAATGTTTAAAATCAAGTAAATAGAGGGGGAGGATGTCCAAGTATTCCACAAAAATAACGAAAATAAAGTTGCTTAACGTTTGACATCGATAGACTCCATCTTATTGAGGTCGGATTGCAGAAACATTGATACCCACGTATTCGTATTGGCGAGGAGAAGGTTTGTTCCTAGGTTAGAATATAAAAAGGTTTGCCGCCTGCTAAAAAATTAAATGCAGATAAGTTAAATGAATTACTACAATATGGGTATTAATTGAGATGGTTTTGAAAAGGCTTTATTTCTAAACAACATGTGGAAAAATTAAATTCAACTTTAATTCAAGGAAATTAGGTAACTGAAATATGTATAACAACATGGGTGTCAGACTAACAAGTTTAATAAGGTTATAGTTTGAAACTATTTTTATCAGGGCTGTCACCTGTTTAAAAATTAAATTCAATGTATATATTAGGTTAAATTAATTATAACAATATGGACATCCTCCAAAATGGCTTTGGAAGGGCTTAATGTTCAACTGCTTTTAGTAGGATTGCTACTGTTTAAAAAAAATCAAATTCAAAATAACATATAATTAGAAAAAACACTATATGGACCAACCATTATGTTGAGTTTTATTAAAATAATTTGAACCTTATCAAACACGTAGAAATTTCATACACTCATTAAATTAATAATTATCAAAATTCTTAGAGTTGTTTCCTGGAAAACTTTTGATATATATACATACATATTTACAAGAATTGATCGTTTAAAGTAATGAGATGCACACATACATATATGTAATTTGAGAAAAAATTCTTACGATTTTACTGCCTTAAAAGCTTATTTGCAAATTTTTACCAGAACTTGCCCTTAAGTAGAGATTTTTTTTCTAAATGTACTGACAACTATTTTCTCCCTGCAGCTTTCCAAATTTTTATATTGAGCCCCTCCCCCCTTAACGTTGTTGGGCGTCTTGACTTTCCTATCACCCCCTTTACTCATTTAACACTTTTACAGAAAACTGGTGCAGTAGCGCAGCAGTATCTATATCTATATATATAATACACGAAGGCATTTTTTATGCAGCATAAAATATCTGCACCGTTCGTTCGATTTTCAAATGGTGTCAAATTAAAGCGCTTGGCATGCAGATGTGCAAACTGGTCTTATTTTTTCGAAAAGAGTTGCCACCTGTTGAACAATTAAAATTAAAATTTTCAATAATCAATACCATCAAATTCGTACCGTTTGTCCGACTTTCAAAAGTGAGATGCCAAATTAAAGGGCTCGGGCCGTAGAATGCAATAAGGATTTATTTTTTTTGAAAAGAGTTGTCACCTTTTAAAAACTTATCTATATTCAAATTATTTCAAAAAATGTATCAATTATTCAAAATGTGTATTAATCGAAATGGTTTTGAAAAGCTTTGTTTTTTAACTTAACTCAGGAGGGTTGCCACCTATTTAAAAAAAAATCAATTTTAATTAAGGGAAATAGGTAAGAAAAGTATGTATGTATCACCATATGGGTGCCAAACGAAATGGTTTTAAGAAGGTAATAGTTTGAAAATATTTTGAACAATGTTGCCACCTTCTTGAAATGTCGAATTTAGTTAACTTATACACAAATTATATGAAACAATAAAATATGAATGTCAAAGTGTATTAAGAAATGTTTACTTTCGACGCTACGACTATTTTTGAGGTGATGGAAAAGGGTTGCCACATGTTTACATAGGTAAATTCAAAGTATTTAATAAGTTAAATGAATTATTAAAATTTGGGTATCAATCTAAGGGGGTTTCAAAAATCTTTATTTCTGATCTATATTTAGTGGGGTTGCCACATGTTTAAAAAATCAAACTTGACTTAATTTATCACTTAATTAAAATATCTATCGCAGTGTTAGACAAAGGAGCCTTTACAAGGGTTTAGCTTGAAAATACTTTTCAAGAGGGCTGCAATCTGTTTGAAATGTTTAATTTAATTAACTAATGCAAAATTTATGTGAATTATATAAATACGGGAGTCAAACGAAAGAGTGTTAAGAAATATTTAGTCTGAACATTTGGAACGTTTGAAAAGGGCTGTCAGGTGTTTAAAAAGTTACATTCAAATTATTCAATAAGTTCGACGAATTATTAAAGTATGGGTATAAATCGCAATGGGTTTGAAAACTCTTTATTTCTGACCTTTATTTAGGAAGGTTGCAACGTGTTTGAACATTCAAATTCAAATAAGTTCATCTGCTATTGAAACACATGTGTATCACAATGTCAGGTGAAAGAGATTTAAGGAGATTTTAGTTTGAAATAACTTTTGAAAAGGACTTCCACCTGTTTGAAAGGTCGAATTTAGTTGACGTATACACAAGTTTTATGAAATATTTAGATATGGGTGTGCATCGAAAGAAATTTATGAAATCTTATGTTTGAAAATAACTTTAATTAGGCTGGCTACCTTTTCGAAAAAAACATATCGATCTAAAAGTATAGGTATATGTATGTGTATTATACGGGAAGGTATTTTGTGTAATAGTTCTTTTGAATTTCTAAAATGAGAGGTCAAATTAAAGACCTTAACCTGTAGATGTGCGATAAAGTTTTATTTTTCTACTTAGCATCTTTTTTAAAGGGTCATTTGAAATTTGATGAAATTAAAAACCTACACTATGCGAGACCTCTCTTCACTAAAAAACGGCTACACGGATTTACATGAAATATGCCACTTTGATCGCTTATAACTGTGACTGATATTTGGAATATTTTTTAGGTTCTTGAAATTCAATTTTGGGCGTTTTCACGCCATGCGGGTTCACTAGTTTTCGGTTTATTTTTCAGCAGTAGTAAGTATTTCCAATGGTTACATGTATATAAACTAGGAACAAACTGCTTATTTAAAAGTTCTAATCAGAAAGGTCAGAAGGTTGAATGTGAAGAAATCAATAAATAGGACTAGTGGAAATCTTATTCTTCTTATTTGGCGCTGTAACCGCCTAAGCGATTTTGGCCGAGTTCAACAAAGCAAGCCAGTCGTTTCTTTTTTTTGTGCCAACTGGCACCAATTGTGGGGCCTTCCTTTTCCTCTGTTACTGCTATTTTAATTCGCTGCACTATGTCCATGTCATTGTAAAGATCATACAGCTCATCGTTCCATCGTCTGCGGTACCCGCCGTCGCCAACGCGTAAAGGATATATGCATGCGCCCAACGATTTTCATTTTCCATCTTATAAATTGTTTATAATGACTTTTGCTAAAATTTCAAAATCAAAAGTTATCAAAACAAATTCTATGGTACTGAGAAATATTATTTTCTACTTTTTAGTCCATTTATAAAAGCGTGGTATATTAAAAAGGTTTTTATTTTATTTATTTTCTACTTGTTAGTCTTGTCTGTATAACATTTTGCAATAGATATTACAATAATTCAACGATATTAATAGATTGATGCACACATGCATATACATACGACACCATTTCCGCTGTAGCGTACGTAGTGCATAGAGCGACATCTACCTGTCAACCGACGAGGTTGATTGACTGGACACACAGCATTGCAAGTTGATAAAAGCGTTGTAAAATGGATTTTTTCATGAATAAAAATAGTTTCATAGAGGATTTTTTGGAAAAAATCCCCTCAGATGACAAAACAGTAAGCTTAAAAAATCTAAATAAAAATATTAAAAAATTGTATCAACGGAATCATAATAATGAGATGTTTGATGCTGTTTCTTAACTTTTTCAAAGACTTGCGTAAGAAGATCTGGAATAACTACTCCAAAGCTTTACCGATATAGACTTATGAGTTATCAGTGGAAAGATATTTTCTCACCCTTTTTATTCTTTGCAAAAAATCTCATTCACGTCCCAATTTTTTCTTTATTCAATACCAAACGCATTTTAATTCAACATGGAATAGCGCTCGTTTATCTTACCTTCCCCTTTCATACGTTGAATGAGCTTATTCGCAAAGAGTTTAAAAGGGTGAGAAAATACCTTACCAATGATACCTCATGAGTCTAAATTGGTAAGGTTTTGGCTGAGTTATTCAAGTTTTTC